CATTTCAAGTAACTGTCTTACAGTTAAAAAAATTTATATAGACTGGAACAAGTAATATTCTGAGTACTCCATCTGAAGAATATGGTTGGTGTGATAGCACACCATCTAAGTTACAACAGTTTCTGACGAGTTACCAAACTTGCGTGAAATTTGAAATTATCATGGTAAAACACCACCTGTTCTGTTGATCAATTCTGGCCACCTTTTCTGTTTGATAATATTATTCAATTTGTTTACTTAATGGCAGTACGTACACTTTCAAATCAATTGTTAAATTGTCTGGTAAAAGCATTTAAAATAAAAAAATTCCTTAAAATCCCACCAAAGATAGCATCTCTCTTTAAGAACATGTAGAACCCACATTTCAAGCTTTGAAACAAAACCAATTTGTTTCAAGTAATCATAAACAGTTCAGTTTGACAAATTTAATCTCTTAGGGTGAGTTTACTTCTGAGCTAATAGTGCTACTTCCGAACATCGGAAGTGATGTCATTAGCATATGTATTCATGCTTACATGTCCAGATCGAAAGTAAACGCAAACGCTAACAAGGAATACGGTCGTTTCCTGCAAATAATACTGTATTGTCAAAGCTGCTATTTTAAATGTTACATTACAGATATAACTACTTCATTCCGAATCAGACGAGGATGATTTTATTGTGGATATAATTGTAGAAAAATGAAAAAAGAAAAGTAAGGTAAAATAAAAAAGATAGAAACTTTTATTGAAGAGACTCTACCTTCTTATAAGCCAACCGATTTTAAACAACCTTAGACTTACAAGAGATAAGTAGTTCGGCTGCTTGTCCACTATTGATCCAGATTCGACCAATCCTGTCGCAACACAAGTCGGCAATGATGTTTTACTGCATTTTACAAGTCTCTGTTAGCATCTTTATATGAATATAATAGCAATTTTTTCGCCACGATATACGANAATGCTAGCTGTCAAAATATATAATGATAATACGGTTTAGAATGAAAATGGCAGGAAAAATACGACTAATCCATCTAGTGGTAAAAAAAAACTAACTTACTTTCCGAACAACACAATAGTAAGTCATTACTAATTATAATAAAAATACTATAGTATATTATGATCTATCATGTGATGTCTCCAAGGTTAAGCGAATTCTTTGCAAAAAAGTAAGTTATCAGGAAACACATCAGAGATGAGTAGTCATGTGACCGAATAGCACTGACAAATGTCACGTGACATGCTTTGTATGCGTCTGCCTTCGATGTGCCGCTCCGCAACAAAAACAAGCTTAAGCAATGGCGTCTTCAAATGGGGTACACTCTATAAGTATTCCAACAATTTTTTTGTTTATAGCATATTTTATATCGATCATTTCCAACAAATTATACGTGTTTTGGAAATGCTTGAGTCAAATTAGTCTAGAATCGATTTAATTTTATGGAAGGAAACCTCTGAAACTTGGGTCCCGTACTTAGAGGGTACAGAAGTTTGAACTAAACTGCATAAGTGCCAATTAGTCAAACAATACAAATTAAACTGTATAGTGTGATTTACACAGGACAAGACGTAAAATGTAACAAAGAGAGCTATCAAAGAAATGTGACCTCACAAATTAAAAATTTTCTTGTTAGTCATTGGGAGTATACAACAGCTAGGGCACAATAGAAAGCACAAGCCAAAGTAACATTTACCCCATTTTCCCATACACAGCAAAAAAAAACTTCTCAATTTCTAAAATAAATTTTGTCAAAATCCTATTTTGTATAACATGGTTCTAAAGGAGTACAGACTTCAAAAATCAAGAAAAGGCTTGGAGAAAAGGTTGGTGGTAAGAACAGTGAATTTTCAGAAATCATCCAACACAAATATTGAAAATACTAATATTTAATTCAATTTTGATAAGTATACACAACACAACAAACAAAGAAACTTAATGTGGCAACTGCATTTTATTGGTAAAAAAGTGCAAAACTACAATTCAGCCATGCGTAATGTCACTTTCAATGTGAAAATTCACCCATCTCATTTGCTTTGCTTTTGCACACCCTTCACATCCAGTGTAAGGTCAAGACTCCACTAGTATAAAAACTCTTGCTATACATACTTTTAGTCACGTGACCGTGATATTTTATGCCAAAGCAGGTCATAAAATGCATCTGTAAAACAATACCACCAACCAGTCAGAATCTACATTGTGACATCGTAAGAAAATTTATGAAAAATGAGCTTTCATGTATGTTCTCTCATGGCTACTTAGAAAAGACCTAGAATAGATCTGGAAAGATTTATCAAAAACATCGAAAAGTATCCACATATGTATGACAAGCGGCATCAACGATAAGAATGGATGCCTAAAACAAGCAATATGGATGACCAAAAAAAAAATCCTTCAATTTAGATGAGAGTAATAAAAAAGATCAATGTGTAAGTGCAGTATATCTTGATAATATGATGATAAAAATTATTAGATGAAAATAACATTATTTTTACTACATTTGTAATTATAGTACCAAAAAAAATCAATCACAATATAATTGGTCTTTATATCGATATATCACATATACAACCATAATTTCAATAGTACTGTCATCGAAGTAAAAACTTCACTAGCAGAGCCAGATCTCCACTGCAATCCAAGCACAAACAGATCATGAGATTAAAAGCATTTATGGCAAGAGTTTTTATGCGTTTTTAGGCTAGTGGAATCTTTGCCCAAATTACCCTTAAGACAGTACCTGTAATGTTGGTTTTATGTGCAAATGAAACTTATAAACTGAACAAAGGTAATGTAAAATGTTTTAAATGTTCCCATTTACATATTCTTAACACAATACACAAATTCTTTATAACACAACAGAAAAAATATTTGAAATTTATTTTCTTTACAAGTGAGCACAACATTGGTTCCTTACAAGCCACACAGCTACACACCCTGGTCCACTTTTGTGACACCGAAAGGAAACACGCTTTCTCTCTAGGCAGGAAAATCTCACCCCACATTCTTAAGAATAGGATTACATAAACACCTAACAATGTGACAATTCTGTTTAGTTGTATATCAAATTTAACAGGTTAAAAGCTATAAACTTTTGACAAAACTAAGAAATAATACATTAAACAAATTTTAAGGATAATAGTTTTTTTAAACCTTTTTTTTATAAAAGCAGGTTTAACAAACTGATCAGAAAATTAAAATTAAGAGACAAAAGATGGACTGTTCATGTAATGAGATCAGACAAATGAACAAGTTTCAAAATGGAAAAAAAAAAAGACTGAACTATTGGCAAGTGCCAAATCCAACAGAGGAAGTTGTTTTTGAGCCAAGATGACTGCCGAAACAGGTAAGGAGCCGACCACGTGTTTGTTCAGTGCCTGAGCCAATTCAGTTTCTATCGGTGACGACTACTGCGAGGACCAAATGAAGAACAAATCATTGAATTTATGTCAAATTCTGGACTATATTGGTGACAGGAAACGTTGACTTGTAGAAGGTGAAGCTGTTTTGAATATATGTGACGTACACACACACAAAACAATGTGTGTTACAAACTTTTGACTGGCCTATGTTGTATAAGTGCTGAATGATGCAGCAGGGCAGCCTTCAGATTGGCACTAATTTTAACTATTATGATAAATAAAACTTTGTTTTTATATTGGAACATGGTGTATACTGCTTAAAATATTTAAATACTTCTCACCTGTTAACGTGTAATAAACATGATATCACGTTTACAAAAACCAGACAGCTCCACTTTGCACGTGCATTCTCCCTGTAATTGAGAGGTGTTAAAATGCCAATATCTGAGGGTGCATTTACTTCTGAGCTAATTTTACTATCAGCACGCTCAGCCTGTATACTTTCGTCCGAGTGCCATGCTCATTGGCGTTTACTTTAGAGCTATGTGACGTCATGTTTAGCGAAATTGGTAAGCTCGAAGTGCTAGCTAGTTCGTTGTCGAGCTTTGCTCTAATTCAATATGGCTGCTCTCATGAAAAATTACTTTCTGTACAAAGTACTAAAAATAGAATTAGTTTTTGAAAAAATAAATGGCAGGAAGTATTTTTATTTCAATTATTTGTTGCGTAAAATGTTTACAGTGATCTTTTTTTTCATTGTAAGGTTCAATAGCTTTAGATGACTTTTTTCATAAACAGAGTTAATTAATGTGAAAAAAATTAAGTTTGATTCATTGTTTATGATTAAAAGTGAGGTNAACAATGAATCAAACTTAATTTTTTTCACATTAATTAACTCTGTTTATGAAAAAAGTCATCTAAAGCTATTGAACCTTACAATGAAAAAAAAGATCACTGTAAACATTTTACGCAACAAATAATTGAAATTTACCAATAAAAATACTTCCTGCCATTTATTTTTTCAAAAACTAATTCTATTTTTAGTACTTTGTACAGAAAGTAATTTTTCATGAGAGCAGCCATATTGAATTAGAGCAAAGCTCGACAACGAACTAGCTAGCACTTCGAGCTTACCAATTTCGCTAAACATGACGTCACATAGCTCTAAAATAAACGCCAATGAGCGTGGCACTCAGACGAAAGTATATAGGCTGAGCGTGCTGATAGTAAAATTAGCTCAGAAGTAAATGCATCCTTAGTGATTTCACGTGTTGTTATTTGGCAGTTTGCTTCAATCAGTACCTTTTATTTTGTTTTCATTGGCTTCAACTGGTCATCCAGAACATGGTGCATCTTCAATATTGAAATTGTCAGAACAAAATTTTGTAAACCAGTTTTGGCACTGTCGTTCTGTCAACACATCTCCATACACGTCACACAATTTTTTTCCTTACTTTAACAGCATTCTTACCTTTTTGGTAATAAAAGAACAAAATATGCTGAAAATGCTGCTTTCAATCTTCCATATTTGATGGGACACAAAAAATAAACAATTGCACAAAATCAAACAAAATTTTTTACAAATAAGCCTTAAACTGCTAGCTGTCAAAATATTAATATATAATGATAATACGGTTTAGAATGAAAATGGCAAGAAAAATATGACTAATCCGTCTAGCGGTAAGAAAATAAACAAAATTACTTTCCGAACAACCTAATATTTTATTTTTTATGCAATATAAAATTAAAGTTTAATATATAATTATTGGATTTGGATTTTATGTCAAACAATTGCAGGAATTATTTTGGGCTGTATTACTATTAATTACATGCTAAGTAATTTGGCACTAGAGACAGGCATTATGCACCATCTGCTAAATTTTATAATTAAATTGAGCAAGAGATGACACCTAACACCTGTCTCTAGTGCCAAATTACTTGGTATTTAATAACAGTAATATAACTACATGTAATCCAGTAATTTTATTAAAGCCAAATAATTGAAGATATCAGATCTGACAAAACTGTAGTTTTAAATATATTCTTCCAAGTAGAAAAAAACAATATTGTGATAATAGTTTAGAGAACTCACACTTACTCAACTCCAACTTGCTACCAAACTTGACTCATCATCATCCATTATTAATTAAATAAGGCATCAAATCTGAAATAAAATTGCATCTTAGTTGAATTCTTTAATAGCAACATATAATAATAAAGTTATAATCAGAATCTGGTAAAGCAAAATAACTTTTCATTTTATAAAATCATAGTAGTAATTATCATCCTGTAATATAATCATTACATCATATAAAATACATATGAACTCACCAAATCCTTTTACATTTGATTCTGAAATAGAAAAAACAATATATTTATAAAAATCTGAAATTAATGTTCCTAATAATAAATTTTCTAAAATAGAAATTCAGTTTAAAATTTTTAAATCAAAAAAACAGAAATCAAACAATGTAGGTAAGTAATTAGTCCATCATTAAGACAACTTTGAAAATTTGGTATTTTGATTAAAAAGCTTACCATTGAGACAATCCAGTGGAATTATTTTCTTGATATTTCCATTTCAAAATCAATCTGATTTATTAATATTTCTGTAATTTGAAAATTTGTTGTACTAAATAATAATCAAGTATGATATAATACAATGTCACTTCATGCCAACGTTTATTATATGATTATAACACTTACGTGTTGTCGTGTTACAGGAGTGGAGTCTTGGAGAATGAACTCATCTGACTTTAGAAAATGAACTTGTCCGCTAGTACTTTCAGTAGTATATAACTACTGTCTTCAGGCGGTCTATCGAATACAACAGATTAAGATTTTCGAACTCTAATCCAAAATAAACCACACTTGTACCCAGCAAAATTAAATAAATAAAAAACTTAACCAACACCTTAATATTCGCTGATAGATATTTTTATTACAACAAACGTTTTCAATCTATTCTATAGATCATCCTCAGGTTAAAAAGAATATTTCTTAAATGGAACAATAAGTTCAAAAATTCAAAAATATTAACAACCAATAACATTTCCAGTAATAAGAATAACTAAAACATTGTAAATGATACAAAAATGTAAAAATAAATAACATATTACTCATACTAAATATTAATACTGTCTATCCTATCTAGACAGAATTTCCTTTATAACATACTAAAGTTCATGCACCTCTTGTAAGTTTTTAACTGCATACTTCCAAGCCAAAGGAAGCCCCTCCACGTCCCTTGCGTTAATGCATTTTTCTTTAAGCTTGCTTCTGTAAATTTCTATCTTTTCCGCTGTTCTTGCCAAAGTTAGAGAGAGTATCTGTTTTAGGATTTCCGCTTCATTCCATAGAACCAAGGATCCTTCTGCTTGCGCCATCTGGGCCAATACTGTTGTATTAGAANTCTTCAGAAATGTTATGTTCAGAGCATTAAATAAATCGTAAAGAAATGAAAAGCATTAATAATAATCCAAAATTACATAAGTTTGTATACTTGAATGAATTTTCACTTACATATGTGAAATGACTTCTCAATAAATTGTATCATTTGAATACCATTTTTTCATTACAAACTAAACTTATATGATGACAGAGTAATACTTATTTCTATTGAAATATGCTACTGCTTCTTCAATTGATGTCTTAATAGCCATATGCTTTTCATCAATAGAGCCTGTAATTCCAGGAAAACCAGATTGGATATAAAAAAATTCCATTATTCTTATATCATCCTGCTGTGTTGATGGCCAAGAGATCACTTTTCATTTTCATTTAACACTAACTTGTAAGAAAGAATTAACAACTTTATTTAAAATATTCCACGCAGTTCGTCTAAACGTATTAAAACAATCACCAATACCCTTAGAGGAAAGAAAGAAAGAAAGAAAAAGTGTTTTGTATTTAATATCAATTATTTGTTAATTTTGAACTCAGTTTAGTTACACCACAACAAAACAACGTCACATCTATTCACTGGGTAAAACAATTGCTTTAAATATGTATTATATGTGGTATAATCTACTATTCTCTTATAAACTGCATCTAATTTCATATATTACTTCGTATAAACAAACCCAAATGATTCTTCATTTGCCAATGTCCATAGACAGCGTAAAAGCTGCTTTTGAGGAGACACGGGTCGTCTTCCAGAGGAAGTAATTTTTCAGTGTCTATAATTGGGCTTATTTTTTAGAGGAGAATTTCAAAACATTCTCTTGTAAGTCTAAGGTTGTTTAAAATCGGTTGGCTTATAAGAAGGTAGAGTCTCTTCAATAAAAGTTTCTATCTTTTTTATTTTACCTTACTTTTCTTTTTTCATTTTTCTACAATTATATCCACAATAAAATCATCCTCGTCCGATTCGGAATAAAATAGTTATATCTATAACATAGTATTGTCAAAGCTGCTATTTTAAATGTTATTTGCAGGAAACCACCATATTCCTTGTTAGCGTTTGCGTTTACTTTCGAACTGGACATGTAACTTTCGAACTGGACATGTAAGCACGAATACACATGCTAATGACATCACTTCCGGTGATCGGAAGTAGCACTATTAGCTCAGAAGTAAACGCACCCTGAAATTGCAACATTAAAGCAACAACATGAACTTCGGTGTTGTTGTTAGAGTTTAATCCACAATATACGATGTGTCCAGCTTCCAAAAGAGCTTCACCTTCTACAAGACAACCTTTCCTGTCGCCAATATAGTCTAGAATTTGACATAAATTCAATGATTTGTTCTTCATTTGGTCCTCGCAGTAGTCGTCACCGATAGTCAGAATCGGCTCAGGCACTTAACAAACACATGGTCGGCTCCTTACCTGTTTCGGCAGCCATCTGCTCAAAAACAGCTTCCTCTGTCTGATTTGGCGCTTGCCAATATTTGGTACTTACGGGTTAAGAGGACGCCAGTCGGAAATAGCGTTTTTTCCGAATAATGCAAGTTTTTTATTCGTCAAATTTAATACAATTGTTAAATTAAACAGTAAATTATGATTTATAAAGATATAACAAAATCTCACAAATTCTAATAATAAACCACTTAAATATGCAAATTGTTTTGTAGTGTATACAGCAAATATGGCAAATAGGTGATATCTATAATCATCCTAATTGATTTTTTTTCATTTTTACAACCTTAGCAGTATATTTACTTCTTTTTAGATTTAAATTTACTAGTCTATTGTTATTTTGATATTTTCATTCAAAATCGCGACTTTGATCGCTATTTCTGACTGGCGTCCTCTTAACCCATAAGTACCCTATATTTTTATAATGAAGGGCATGGAACGTAAAACAGAGGGATGGTAAAATAAAGACAAAACTGCATTTTATGTTGGTATCTCCTAAAAACCACTAAGATAGGTTAACATTTACAATCTAACTGGTGAATATTTCAGTATCAGTGAAAATGCAATCTAAAACTGATTTGAATTTTGGTTATTTTTTGAAATTTATGCATTAACATGTCAATAAAATTGCTCTATTCAAAAAGATTGAAACAATCGTTTTGAATATTAAATACCATCAAATATTAATAACAGGCAAAACTGGGGACATCTGGTCCCACTAAGAGCAACCTTCTTAATTCGCGTTTTTCACGAACTATAGAGGGCGCTGTATTTTTACAAAATGGCTACTCTATCTGGGTCGTTTGTTAGTCGTCAGTGTAAAATGAATTATATATTACTATCTGATGTAATGAAATATGCTACTTGTAGCAGTTCATCGAGAAATTTTATAGAAGGAGAACAAGTATTACTAGCAGGACACGTCATTTTATGTGGTATTGTCGAGAAAAACGAGCAAGATCGTGCTGTACATTTTTGTGCTCTTTGTCTGCAAACATCAGCATTGACTTCTATCCCACACAAAATTACTGGAATTTTAAAGTTTATC